ATAACGATCAAACATACAACGATTTGATAATATAATAATATAATGCCGATCTATATTTGTTATTATTATTAATTACGGCATTATGTGCAATAACAACGACGTAGTAATTATGTACGTAATGATAATATACTGTACAACGTTGCACGTACGTACAATGTAATGACCATTGTTACTTGACAAAATCAAAAACGCGCGCTTGTACGGCGAGCATTGTTACGTGTGTCTCATTGTCAATGTGAGATCGCGGGCCGCAGCCGTTCATTAATTTAACACGCAAGTCGTATTACGTAAAGTGCGTAACGACACGTCTCAGTTATCGCGGATAACTTGGCTAAATTCGCTCGCGGCAATGTCTGAACGACTTAATCTTTCGCATCACGGTGTAAGAGAAAAAAAAATCTCAATTTTTTTTTCGCGGCAGCTCGCGAAAAGCGAGCTAACGGACACGCGAGAAAATTCTCTCACCACTTACGCAAATTTCTCATAATACGACGACACGGCGCATTTTACTCCGCGTATTAACATATATATCTACACGAGTTTTGCTCGATTTAAAAATAGAAAGTCTATTTTGCGACTTCAATTTTTCTCCCGAATATGTAAAAATAGATCGTTTCTATTTTTAAATTTAAATTTTTCTTTTGATGCGAAAGTCGAAGATTTTAGCACTTAAGTTTCCTTTCAATGGAAAAATGGAAGATTTCTACTTTGAGAATTTAGAGACTTTTCTTTTGTTTTCACGTCGAAATAGAAAGAAGTATTTCCGTCTCAGAAATCTCCTTTGATACAAGAGTAGAAAGTTATTGCTGCCGTTGAGACTTGTTGTTTGAAGGTGTTAACAGGTCTTTTGTTATTTGCCGCGGCAGCGTTTTGCATTGTAGACCGTTTGCTTGGATTTCAGCACCCGATACAGCAGATACCGCAAAATAATCTTCAACAAAATAACGCTCAGAGCCTGCAGCGGGACAATATGCCGAGAGGAAAGGATTCGAAGCCAAGAGGACGGATGACAGCGTACGCGTTCTTCGTCCAGACATGTCGCCAGGAGCATAAAAAGAAGCATCCCGAGGAGAAGATCGTTTTCCGGGAATTCTCCAAAAAGTGTGCAATGAGGTGGAAGGTGAGATTTTTTTTCAGCTCAAACTACTCGCTATAATTCACTACAAATCACATTTTTACAGATATTCCAGCAAACACCAAGTAATATGCATCTTACATGCGAGTTATAATTTCCTACTCAACAATGTAAATGCAATACGACACATACTTGATGTTTGCTGGGATAATATCGTATATGTATAAAAACATATAAGTAATTTTTTTATCTTAATATTATACGTAAATAAATTTGAGATATATTAATAGAGCTCCCTGCTAACGCTAGGATCAAGAGAGTCCTTGTAAGAACTAACTTAGAAGCGATCACGATACTTGGTTGGACTTCTCCGCATGTCGGTTTCACAGCCCGAGGTGCGAACGAGAGAAGCGGAATGCGTAACGTTTTGTCGAAAGTCCTGCTTGTGGACTCGCGAGAGCCACTTTGATCTTGGCCTCTGAATAAATACGTGCGCTCGATAAACGCCACGTGCAAGTACGGTATTTAAGCGCGTCGTTACGGGCCGACCCGTCCCGCCTCGTTAAGCCGTCAATCTTCATCTCGTCCAGCAGAATCAAGATTATCGATAAGTAAAACGGATCCGATACACGGCAAAAACCTCCCGCGTCGTGACGCCGTCGTTAAAGAACTGTGTCTTTAGAGTATCTATTATCCTGCGTGCACGCGACTGTGAATATGCCAGATCGGTCGGAGAACACTTATTTTCTCAGTAACTGAACATTTTTATCGCACGTGAATATGCGAGATCAACCGTATGGAAACGCTAACGCTATACGAAATACCGTATGTGTCGTAGACTATGTCGGACATCGAGAAGAAGCGTTTCCACGAAATGGCAGAGAAGGACAAGAAGAGATACGACACGGAGATGCAGAACTATACGCCGCCTAAGGGAGAGAATAAGGGCAGGGGCAAGAAACGCAAACACATCAAGGATCACAATGCTCCCAAGAGATCGCTGTAAGCCCTCACGCTGTTTAATACATAATGTATCTCGATCTCGAGAAAAAAATTTGCTTGATTAATATTTAAACACGCAGCGAGAAAAGTTAACTTGTAAATTCGAACGGAAACAAAAGTTTAATTTTTTTTAAACCTTTATTCGCATTTTAGTGTCATTTCTGGGATATTGGCTTCCCGCAACTTTATTTCTTTAAAGTAAAGTTTTGTTTTTCAATTGTTTTTCTGAAAATTAAATTTACAGAGCAATTTCTCAAAACTACATTCACAAATTTAGATTATTTCCGAATTATACATTATAATTTTCTTTAGTCTCTATAAAAGATTGGTTTAGCATATTATCGCAGCACGAACCCTTTGAATAAGCAGATAGATTTAATAATTAATTTCATCAGGTCTGCTTTCTTCTGGTTCTGCAACGATGAACGCGGAAAGGTCAAAATGCTGAATCCTGAATATGGCGTAGGCGATATAGCTAAGGAATTAGGCAAGAAATGGTCGGACGCAGATCCCGAAACCAAATCCAAATACGAGGCTATGGCAGAGAAGGACAAGGCTCGATACGAAAGGGTAACGTATCTAAATTTAGCACAACCTTACGCTTTTAACCATTAAGACTCCTAGCCCCGGCACTGCTATCATATAACGTCAGAAGCTATAAGTCGTGAATTTTCTTATACTACATAGTCGGAATATATTACTCTACTTTTTGCACAACTCGCAACTCGAATCTGATTGAATTAATTTACGAGATGAATGTCCAAGCGTTTTCGAAATAAAGATGAAATATTATTTTTTTCCTCGCAGGAAATGACCGCGTACAAAAAGAAAATACAAAACGACGGCGCCCCGGTGGTGGGGGCCGCGCAGGCGAACCAAACTATAATAAAAAGCGACAGCGAAGAGGAATGGAAGGACGACGACGAATAGCGGATGCACGTCGAAATTTCTTCATCTATCACCCCGTGTCCTTCATCCTGAAAGCATACCTCACCTACTGTACGTACCATTGACCTTAGCGTGAGCGTACTTACACCACCATCACTAGGAAAACGAAGCAACTAACCACCAAGCAACCTACCAATCAACCAAGCTCTTCAACAATCCCTCACCAACCAACCTCCTAATTCTCTCCCCGATTATTTACGATAATGATAAAGTAATCCGCGCTAATTATGGTAATTATTTTAAAAGGAAAAACTGGTATGCATGAGTGGTGCGCGAGCGTGAGCGAGAGAGGATCATTGTGTGAGTGAACATTTGTACTTTAACATATTGATAGTAAACGATGATGTAAAGCGGCTAGTAAGATAGCGGAAGATAATGGAAGAAAAAAAAATGAAATAAGAAATCAGAATCATGAGTAAAATGCAAAAGCGGAAGAGATAAGACGTGGCAGAATGCCCAATACTTTCTCTATCCGGATGGAAGGCGCAGGGGCTCAATCATTGTTGACTTTTTGCTCTGTCGACGCTATATTACGAGCTATGTAGCTTAGTTTACTAATGACGAAACGCCGCGATAATGACGTTCTCCGTAGGGCGGGGATCGGAGATGGCTGTAGTTCTTTTTGCCATGTTCTTTCGGATTTTATCCGATCATGCGACGATTGTCCTTTTTGTGTCTTTTTCACGCATTGCCATGGGCACTGGTGAGAGAGAGAGAGGGCTCTCTCGGATCCTCGCTCTCGAAAGAGGCGAATCATGTCGCGTCGTTGCAAAATTAATATACTTTTTTGGGGAACTCTTTTTTTAGTTCAATTCAATTTAATTCAGTTCAGTCCAGGTCTGTTCTGTTCACTTGTTGCCAGCGTCGTTATGGCATGAACACACATACATATATATACACACGCAGACACGTACAGACAATTGTTGTATATCCTTGTACAGAGAGCTTCATTTTTTCTTTCGTATATTTTTAGCGAATCGATCATGTTGAGCGCGCGTGATGGGGCATGGGGCCGCTTTACGCATATTTGCGAATATATAATTGATTTTATCGAGGTACACACATGTCTCTTGTAGTAGCTGTAAGTACGTTTAGAATTAAGTATACGTGTATCTTAACGCAGACTTGAATTCTCCGGCGACTCTCTACGTCTTTTTTTTTAAGCATGTACTATTTTTCAACATTTACACGGCGGTGTTACAAGCCACGAGCCACCACGTGATTGAGCCTTAATTACGTAGCCGATAAACGATCGCCCCGAATCGAATCGGGAGAAATTGTGTGCGAGAGAGAAAGAGAGTGCGTGTGTATGTAGCTCGCAGCTTCTCTATTAGATCATTGCATATGAGATGTCATTTTTTTTGAAAAAAGTAAAACTTAATAATCAGGTATATTATACTACACGTATACTAGTATACTAGGTACACGAGTATACTACACGTGCATGATTTGACTTTTTTTCTTCCTTTTTCAAGTTGTAATAAATAATTATTTAAAAATAATTATTTAAAAATAATTATTTATAAATAATTAATCGGGAAAATTGAAAAGTTTAGCATATTATTTTTCTATTTTAAAGATATTTCAATCGGCCATTAATAATACTATCAATATTGTTAATGTATTAATATTACCATTATTATTAATTCTATTACTATTTTATTATAATTATATGATTTCCACATTAGTGGTATGGATTCAGATGTCACTTCTTGCTAAAGTAAGAATTAATTGTAAGCATAATTTAGAAATGGTTTATTGTATAAATCACTTAGAACGAATCATGTGAGAAAAGTGAATAATTGTATGCAAAATTTCACGTCCGGAATATATAGCTGGAAATATGTATCTTTTTATATCTTTTTATCTCTTAAGTTTCCTACATTTTTGATCAGCATGATTTTGTGAACTTTTATTATACTTGTGAACTTTATTCACTTTTTATGGATTTTTTTCAAGATATATTGAACGAGTTTTCTGAATTATTGTATAAGTTATATGAATCATGTATTTTCCAAGAAATTAAAATCATTGATGTACATATGAAACCGACATTTCATGTGCAAGGGCCTAATATTAAATCAAAATCAGTAGCACGATATTTTAGCATCTCGTCGGAACAGTAACGGTGTTGCTGTGCGCGCGAATCGCTAATGCTTGTTTATCAAAACGACGACTATTGTACGAAAACGAAATTCCATTCTTTTTTTCTTATTAACATTCGCGCTGTTTCGAGGCTGCGGGCGGCCTGCAGCCAACGAAATTTTCTATCTTGTTGGAAAAAAATCGATTCACGTCCGTTCTGACGAAAACGCTTTATTAACTTCATTAATATTCGATCTCGACGATACCAGCAGAAATCATTTTTATTTCGTCGTTTCTATTCAAGACTTACGGTCGCAGGAGCGTTATAATAAAAGCGGATGGCATGACGAATTTTAACACTTTGCCGGCCGTTCGGGTAGACCCGTTTCATGATCCATGATCCATTGAACGATCAAATGGATAGACTTATCTGTTTTGCTGTTCTTCTATGATTCTTAATTGGTTCGCAGAAGTATTAAGATAATTAAATTGTAAGAGGAAGAAAAGGAGTATTTTTTCAAAGACCGATGCAGGTTATAAAAACTGCACAGCCCGACTTATTTAGGGCTCCATAACTTGATTGGCAAAGGTGTTACACATTCGTCCTGCCGTAATATCGAAATCAATGTGCAACTTTTATGCGATCGTAGTTTTAACGGCGAATTTCTTTTCCATTCTTCTCTCTCTCTCTCTCTCTCTCTTTCTCTCTGTTTTTTCTCTTAGCCCGACACTGAAGTGGTCCCTGCCCCTTGCCATCGCCATTCTCCCTCTCACATTCGTTTTTAACTCACTGGAAGAAATAAAAAAAAAAAAGTAGTAAAAGGGTAATACGTTCAAATCTCTCGTCTTGAGACTCACGTGAATGATATAATAACCGCCGTTTCCTTCGTTAAATCATATTCCCGGGAGTAAATCGGATTAAATAGGAGATAAGCTCCCCGCGAAGAAAAGGCGTTTTTTCTGTCTTGTACTGCCTCGAGTCATCTGGTGTACAGCAGGCTGTATTATAATAAATTATTGTGGTTTCTTGTAATATTAACATTCCTAGATCCTATAGCGTGTACAGTGCATTCTTAATCACATTCGGGATTTAGAGAGGGGACCGAGAGGAGCCGGACCCGGTTAACAAGTAAAAAGTAACGAAAGGACGATGGAAAGACAGGATAAGAAAAAAAAATACAAATAGGATCTCGCTAGTTTCTTCTTATGCGTCGTTGAATAACGCGAGATGGGTATACATGTAAACGTATGAGGAAAAATATATATGTATATATATAGTATTATATGTTTATATGTACATTTACGCTCGTGTGTATCTACTATATAAATTCTTAGAGGCTTTCTTATGATTGGGACCGACTGACACACTTGCACCCTCGATACACATTCGGCCCGAAACGGAAAAACTTATCGTCACTTTTTCTCAAAGACGTTTAAAAAAATCTCTCTTTGTCCCTCCCTCGCCGCCCCTTCCCTTTCCCTCCTTTCCCCCAGAGCACATTGTCTCGCATTGTCGACGTAAAACGGAACAAGCAAAAGAAAAAAGAAAAAAAAGACAGTAAAAGATATGGATTTCTAACGATTGATCACGACGAGCAGAACGTGACGAAAAAAGGGAACCTGTTTTCTTAGAGGGAGTTAGAGGACGCGGATGACAAACGACTGTAAAATATCAAATTGTAATATTTTAA